ATATGGTAAAGAGTGATTATTTTATGTTTGCATATTGAGGAATAGCATTATTAATCGAGTCAGACTCATGTCCCATACGTTTCATTGGGATCTCATTTTCGCCTCCGGTAACTCGAACGTTTTCTTCTGTTGTAGCTACCTCAAGTCTACTTGTCTGTGGCATTGCATAATCATACGTGTCTTGAGTCCCTGTTTGGATGGCATCGTATTGATTTTCCTGCGTCAAATCATCTTTGACGAGCTTGGTATAGTTATCAAGTTCATTTTCTTCTTCAACTACCCGGGTATTTGCTGTCACTTGAACTTGACATTTATCCGTATTGTTCCCATTTGTGGGGATGTATCTGGAATAGTCCATATGTATTAGACTTAGACTCAAAGTGAATACAGTATTAAGATGAATAATTGGTTGGTTGGTTGTCGGTCAGTTGATAAGTCGATGAATATATAAATAAAATAATGAGTGATAGAAATGGATAGACAGAAGGACGAATGAACAAATGAAAAATGAACAAATGAAAAATGAACGAGTGAATGAACATAAGAACAAATAAAGATAACAGACGGCCAATAATGTTATGTGTAAATAAATTGAGAATCAAGTAAGTTCATATACAAATAAGCCTGAACTATATGTAAAATTAGCAACAATATTATAAATATACACATCTCAATAACATTTAATAAATAAAAATTAAAATGATACAGAAAAAGTCCACAAGATCAAGCCGATACATCCACAATCTGATGTTAACACATTTTGTTATTGTGTTGAGTTGGACCGAATAAATAATTGAAAAAAAAAAATTAATGGCAAAGTGCAATAGAGAAACATTAAGTTAAGATGCTAGATACACTATACATGTAATCCTTAATATTAAAACACTTTTAAGTGTTTTATTAAAATAACTGAAATGATTTATGTATTCAGAAACTATACCTGTAGTATAGGCCAAATACCAAGAAAAGAAGAAAGATGATGATGATGAAAAGAACAACCACTAATGCAATCATAAATCCGGGGATAGATGATTCTATGGAACATAATAATAATAATAATAATAATAATAATAATAATAATAATAATCACAGAAAGGTCCACTGATTCATCTCAGATATAGTGTAATACATACGCCATTGAAATGCACGCCATCGTGTTGAATCCCACACAATGGCATGCACTTCAATACTAGGAGCATGTATTATACAATTAATACATTAATAACATTAAAATAGCAAAGACATTTTAATATCTGTGACTGTAGAAGCCTGTGGCAATGCATAACCCAGGTCCTCTTCTTCTTACCGAGTCTATTCACGAGATTATACTCTGTAAAGCCATGCCGATTTAGGTCCCAAAAAAAAACTTGACATTACATTAAGATTGTAGTGTAAAGTGGTAAAAAGATTAGTAGGAACCATGAATTCTCCTTTCTTGACCTCACTACTTTGCTGTCAATAGGCCTAAAAAGTGTAATTTGATAGCAGATGCTGCCAACATTTATTTCTTGTTCATTCATCAGTTCATTCATTCAAATCATTTATTGTGGTCTAAAAGCACTTTTTTGGACCATCCTATTAAAGGCCGTAAAAAACTCTCCCCATCCCACCAGGTTTTTTTGGGGTTTTTTTTTTGTAATAATTCTATTTTTAAAAACATGGTGATTCTATTTTTTTTTATTTCTTGGGGTTCTGATGAAGTAGATAGATTTAAAAATTATAAAACACATTAACCAAATATTAATGAAAATGTTATTGAGAAAGAGCATGATAAAAATTATAAATGTACTAAAATTACAATATTTAAACAATGATTAAAAACTATTATTTTTATTTGAAATCAGGGATCGAGACCTACTGTTATTTCTACTATGCTGCTTGACGAATCCACTGATTCTACACACTAGGATACTCGAGTGGGACCCTGGCCAAATTTGACCCACAAGCCGCAAGCAGTGGTGGCGCCAGTGGGGATGGGGGAGATGGTTATAATGTTATTTTGACTGCTATTTGCCCCCCCACCCCCATCAGACAGGTCTGGACACCTCTGTCATCCGACACACAACTAGGTCATCTTTATCAAAAATAATAATTTGCCTATCCAAATAACCTTATTTTGACTGCCAATTCCTAATATTGTGGTTTAAATGAAAACTCCCCCTGTGAACCCTAAAAGGGAGTTTTTATTCCGGGCCATCAACCGATGGTTCATCAGCCCCTTCGCTCGGACCCCTCTGTCGGGCATATCGGACCCCTTGTAGGCAAATTTCTGGCGCCACCGCTGGCTGCAAGCAATTCAATCAGGCCAACATAAATATAAAGCCTTTGAATGTACCCTAGCATTACTGTACCTTAAACACATAATCAAGCTCATAAAATTTTACATCTGACAATTTAGGTACTATACCAAAAAAAAAAATGAAAACCTCATCTGCAACCATGGTGGGGCTGATGTGACTGAATTTGGTGCAAAATAAATCTTGACTATTAAAAAGAACTGATTCATTAAGGTTTGCTAAACACACAAATAAAAAAATATCATTATCAATGTTAGATTATTTAATAATAAATACATAACTATTAAGCCTACCTGTTCCTGTACTACAACCTGTTACTGCTTTGGTAGAGCAGCTCCAGTATCCAGCACCTGCCCCGTTGATAACTCTAGCCTAGAATGAAAACATATTTTCTCGCTAATGGTGACACATATTACCATTAAGATATATGTACCACTTGCAGAATATAAATGTAATGACAGGTAGTATAAATATCAAAGAGATTACCTAAATCAATAATGATGCTTATAGTAAAAAAAGAAAAAAAAATATAACCATGTACCCGGGCAGATAAATAAATGTTGTATTCCCATGCCACGACGGGTTGATCCATAAAAAAAAACCATATAGGACACACATAATCCTAAATTAATATTTTGTAGTCGTAAGAAAAGTGATGAAAGCAGTTCAGCTATTGCATTGATAAATGTTTTATATATTGTGAGGAAGATTGATACGATTTCTGAATGGGGATTTCACAGCAGCACTTTATTTTTTAAATAATTCCTTAATTTCATGGTGGCAGATGCATTAACAAGCATAAAATAAAATTTGATAATTATTCAAAATCATCATTTAAACAATGTACATCATTTAATACTGTATACTGAAAGAAGCACCAGCTTTACTTACACTGACTTCATAGTCTGCATCAGTTTCTAGGCTTGTTATTTTGTAACCATTGCTTCCTTGATCTTTTGTAATTGCTACATCAATCCACTCCTCATCACTATCAGCTAATCTGTATCTTATATCATACCCCTTTATGTCCCCGTACTGATTATTGCCAATTGATTCAGATGGCATTACGGAAACTGTGAGGTATGTACCCTCATGTACTGCTGAGACATCTGGAGGCGGAGGTTCTAAAAGATTGGAATGTGAATATAGACAGTTTTGTGACTTGAGCTAAGAACCACGTTAACATGGCTTTAATTAGGTCAGCATGTAAAGTAATCAAAAGGAAACAAAGGGTCACTTCCTGTCTGAGCTACCTGGTAAACTGGTACCATAAACTTATCTGTCCACAGGTAAGGACCAGTGCACCGGAGTAGACTCGTCTTGAAAGATATTCTAGGTTCTTTCAAGAGTTGTTCTTTATAGTGCACATGAGCCAAATATGTAAATATGTTCATAGTCCTAATCAAAGAAGACATGTTCGATCATGAAACCCATTTGCAAGCTATATGTTGTGGCACCCCTGCTTTGATCGCTCTGCCATTTGCCAATATAATAAAATTTGAATTCTATCTGTTAAACTTTAAACAGTGTGAAATCTAAGAAAAGTGTATTGTTTTATAATATTAATATTTAACATTTTAGTACAACTAAAACTAGTCTAACACTTATAAATCTCTGTCCACTCTATCAGGTGTTTTGTGATTTGCCCATATATGGTCTTACCATCATATCTCACCCATATAAGGACATGATGATGTCATACCACACATGAATAATTATTAAGCAAATCAGTTATTTGTCACATAGAACTTGATAACCTGAATAAAGGTTAGAAAAAGCACTGACTCTCTTCAGGTGAGAACACTTGCACCACTCCTGCCATCCCAGGGAAATCTTTGTTACTTGCTGTTACAGAGATGCTGTATTCTGTGTATGTTTCAAGTCCCATTATTGTATAAGAATCTTTTGTTGTTTCATTAGTGACCATGGGCACGTCTGTATTAACAGGTCTATAAGATATGGTGTAACGATCTACACCAGCTGAACACTTGGACTCCTCAACCTGGAAGGAAAAAAATTATAAAAATATTATTTTATGCACAGACTTTCTAAATATATATACAGGTATAAACAAAAAGTCCCATTATGATATAATTTAATTCTTTTGTAATTTTCTCAGTGATCGTGTCCATGTCTGTATTAACAGCTCTATAACATTTACTGTAATGAACACTAGTTCAACACTTATCGTATGGAAGGAAAAAAATTATAAACAAAATAATGTTTGCTGAAAATTAAAGATCAGGGAAATATTTATCCAAAAAAATGTCATCTAAATTAATAATAGAAAAGAGGTAGGAATCAGTACAATAATAGATCCAATGCAAACAAATGACATTTTTGTTGATTAAACAAAACTGAAAGAAAGAAATCCGGAGTGACTGATTCAAGCTATAGACAGGTTCTATTTTAAGCTAACCAACATGGTTTATCTGAATTTGTAGAAAAAGTAAAAAGTAAAAAGAGAATTCTGATATCTATGTATGGATATCAACTGCAATTTCCATCAAAGTATGGAAACAGATTAAACATTGATTGATTGATTGATTGATGACCTTATATTTGCACTTGCCTTATTAATAAATGTAGTTTTAAATTTTAATTTAATCTTCAAAAAATTATATTACCTTAATTTACATGAAAAATGGTTGTATAATGTTTGTTTCATGAGTCCTAATTAAAATTCATAGTGGGTATTTGTTTGATTGACAAGTACAAATAAAAGTGTGCAGCCATTTTAAGGCAAAAAACACAAATGTTACTTTAAGTCTTACCTAGTTAGCATGCCATTATTTTTCATAAAACCTCCATGTTATAAGCAATTATGTAACAAAAGAGATAACTAAAGTATACTATGTTCGAAACCAGAATAGAATATTCTCTTTAAAAACGTTCCTATCTACAGGACGGAAAGAACAATTTACCGTCAACTGCTGCCAGGAAATGCTGATCATTTTAGGAAATTCATAACTTGAAATTGTGTTGACTACTGGTGCTGATGGTTCTGAAATGATTATTATGAAAAATAAATACAGAGTATTCTACAGATTACATTAATTGATACTTCATGTACAAAATATTTAGCTGAAAGCAATATTTTACAATTTTTTTGAAAATTATGATAAAATTTTGATGGTGCTGCCAATTATGAGGCAGATCCCCTTTTTCATTGGACAAAGTGATTTATCTACCGTATACTTTAAACTTTATACTTTATACTTTAAAAAATTTACATTTATCTATCAATTGTTATTCATCTATTTATCCATTTACCCTGATGTGTTCCTAATAGGGTGTTGCAATCATCTTGACCTTTACCACCACCATATATTATCATAATTTATAATCATCTCCATAAATCATCCTTACTACCATCATTATTATAAATCATCACCACCCTTATAAAATATCACCATCAACAATCTTGAATCATCCGATCATGACCATCTATAACAGGGGCGTAGGCTGCTTTTGCTCTGGGGGTGTTTAACGGCCTGGGGGTGCACAAAATTAAAATACCGAACTAAGTCCTTATTCAATTGAAAACTTAATGGTCATTTTTAGTAATTTAACCAATTTAGTGGATCTAATATGCTGTCATGGTAGGGGGAGGGGGTGGTGCACCACTCCAAGCCTACGCCCATAAACTATCTTAAATCATCAGCCAATGATCACCATTAGCCATTATAGATCATCATCCTTAATCATTATCAATATAAATCATCATAAATTACCATCACCCAAAATCATCATCATTACAAATCAGCATCAAATTATGTAGTTTTAATAATACAATAAGCAGTTAGTAGAGCTCCACATAGTACAATATAGGAAAATTATTATACGAAGGTTAAATTTTTGAATGCATTAAATCTAACCCAATTATAATATTTTCCGCTAGTGTACGATGCATGTTCTACTAATTGCTTTATGAGTCAATCGCTATCTTTAATGTTTTTAAACCAACTGTGTATTAGTCATCGGTTGCTATAATGATATGATCAGTATATGTGTGCGTATTTATATTCCTACGCGTTAACTACACATCAGTAGCAGTGGTGGCGCCAGGGGGGGCTGGGGACTATAGCCCCCGCCCCATCGGGGAAGCTTAGCCCCCCCCCCTTGCCAAGAAGACGAGTAAATTTTGTCGGGGAATAAACAAATAAAAAAAAATTTAATTATATAATTGTTCGTTTAGCCACCATATTGCTTCATTAAACTATTTGTGTTAACTTTTCATCACAATAATAATAATAATAATAATAATAATAATAATAGTTCAGTGACACTAATTAAAAATAATTTGTGTTCTGTTATGACAAAGGCTCGTTCGGATAGCCTCATGATGCTTTGAATACATCGTGATAGGTGAAGCAACCTCGACAGCGTGGTTGACAGATTTCATGCAAAATTTCCAAAATGTAGAATTTCACTTTCAAGAATGAGGATTTGAATATAAATTAGATGGTTACATTACATACTCTTTGTTTCTTGTTTTATTTAAAATGTTTTGGTTTTTCGACATTAGAAAACATAGCCTACAGTACATGAAGTCATATTATAGTAACTCGATGCCTATCAAATAAGTAATAACAATTCTCCCCCTGGACCCCCACAGTGGGCCCTAGGCGGCCCCCCCCGGTGGCCTCCAGCCAAGTGAGACTCAATTCGCTCCACTAGCCCCCCTCCCCCAGGCCTTTAGCCTCCCCGTCGGGCAGGTCCTGGCGCCATCATTGATCAGCAGTACTGTACTGATACATGAATAACTAGGCCTAGGCTTTTTTTTAATTTGTATTGTGTTAGAAGAACTTGTTTGTAATTTTTCACATTCGTCAAAGAAATAAACATTTTTCAAAGGATTTGAGAGAGAATACAGTCACTGTCACTAACTTTTTGGTCGGTGCAGACAGGTCAAAATCTTGGGATGATTTCATAACTATTCTAGGCTATACGGCCTAGGCCAGTAGTAGGAGGCGGCCTCGGCGGCTCTACATCTAATTTCGTTCCTTGAGTCTTCAAAATATTAAACGTTCAGTTTTTTTAGATTATTAGGATTCATTGATTCAAGAAATTGCTTAATTTTTCATACTTAATATTGTATTTAAAGTAACTTTCTTCAGGTTCTTATTAACCTTGTTTTACAAAAGTAATTTTCAATTACAATTCAATTTTTATCACGGTGCACAATGTCTTCGCGGTGACGAAAAAAAAATATTCTGACAAGAATGGGTTTGCATTTTGTCTAGATTATTCAAGTGTATTTACCTCCACAAACTGTTGATGTAGTTAGCCTAACACTTCCCATTGGACCTTCACCCCCAGTACCTTCCCTGACAGCTGCTATAGCAAATTTATACGCTTCTTCCCAGTGTAAACCAGTCACTGTGGCTGTAAGACTGCTAACATGGAATGCTTGCCTAAAGGGCTCAGATGATAGAGATCTTTGTTTGTAATATACAACATATCCAATAATGGGAGGATCACCACTATCTCCACTGCTGGTACTCCATTCCCTCCACCTCAATTTCACTGATGATCCAGTAATCGTCTCTGCGGCTGGTCTTCCATTGTATGTTGGAAATACTAGTTATAAAATATAATAGTATAATTGTTTGATATGTTGAGTACATATTAAATAGTTTAATTTAAAAGTTGGTGAATTGAGGAAAAATGATACAATAAATTAAAAAAAAATATCAAAGAACTGCAATATTATTCAATTAATTCTATTTCAATATATTCAAAAAATACACCCAAGGGGAAGAGAAATATAAAAACTACATAAAAAGTGCACAATATACCATGATTCGTATTATTACCATTAAATACAAAATTCTTTATTTGTCAAAAATATACAATCATTGAAACTTACTTTCCTATAATAATAATGAAAAAATGCAAACACGAAAAAAACCATTGAACTTTAGCATTTTTTTTTAAATCCAATTTTATATAGCGCCTATCACAATCAGGAGAATACACATGGTGCTGGCATCAGTAATGAAAATAGTCAATGACTGAAACTTACCATAGGTAGTAAGCGAATGAGTTTTACTTGCCGTATAATTCAAATTTGTTGAATTTAGGAATAATATCGCAATAAAGTGAAAAAATAATATAAAAGAACTGCAAGATTATTCAATTAATTCAATTTCAATACATTCAAGGGGAAGAGAAATATAAAAAGTACATAAAAATACATAAAAAAGTGCACAATATATTTTTTTTCGCACTGTAGTGCCTATAACAGTACTAGAGGGTCCTGGGTTAAAGTTTATTCCAATTTGTTTTCTAAATGTTCACAGAGGTTGTCTGCAGAGGTTGTCTGTTCTCTCATTCTGAATAAACTAATTATTTTCATTTTTCCTATTTGAGCACTCACAAATATATAAATCATTATATATAATGAAAAAATACAAACACGAAAAAAACCATTGAACTTTAGCATTTTTTTAAAAATCCAATTTTATATAGCGCCTATCACAATCAGGAGAATACACAAGGCGCCGGCATCAGTAATGAAAATAGTCAATAATTGAAACTTACCATAGGTAGTAAGCGAATGAGCTGCATTTGCCGTATAAGAATCCTTAGTAAGTTGGCAAACATATGCAGCATCAGGATTTGCTTCACCGGTAAATGAAACTCTTGTAACTCCATTTGATTTTGTGCGTCCAGTTTCTGCAGCAGGTTGACTGTCAATAAGGAACTGAATGGTAGTGCCAGTTACATCACCTTGAATGTCACATTGAAATGTGGACATCTGACCTGGATTAACTTTTGTGTTAGAAATTGAAATTATTCCTAGAGTAGCAAATAAAAACAGGAATAAAAGATATATAAACATATATAAATTATGATAAAAAGATATTGCCTCTTGTAAGAGTTATATTTGATAATTGCTATTGTTTGTTTGTTTATTGTTTTTATTTTTTTCTTACCTTAACAGAGATGAATATTCAATAGCAAGCTACTATTCTCCCATAGAGTCCAGTAAGGGCAAATAAATTTTTAAAAAGTTCGAAATTGAGGTTCAGCATTTGAGTTTTTTTTTACTACAACAAAAAATATTTTTTTAATGAACTAAAAAGGTCCAGCTTATCTTGCGACGGTAGGCTTTTTTTCGCACTGTAGTGCCTATAACAGTACTAGAGGGTCCTGGGTTAAAGTTTATTCCAATTTGTTGTATAACCCTACTACTTTTTGTTTTCTAAATGTTCACAGAGGTTGTCTGCAGAGGTTGTCTGTTCTCTCATTCTGAATAAACTAATTATTTTCATTTTTCCTATTTGAGCGCTCACAAATATATAAATCATTATATATAATGAAAAAATGCAAACACGAAAAAACAATTGAACTTTAGCATTTTTTTAAAAATCCAATTTTATATAGCGCCTATCACAATCAGGAGAATACACAAGGCGCTGGCATCAGTAATAAAAATAGTAAATAATTGAAACTTACCATAGGTAGTAAGTGAATGAGTTGCATTTGCCGTATAAGAATCCTTAGTAAGTTTGCAAACATATGCAGCATCAGGATTTGCTTCACCAGTAAATGAAACTGTTGTAACTCTATTTGATTTTGTGCGTCCAGTTTCTGCAGCAGGTTGACTATCAATAAGGAACTGAATGGTAATGTCAGTTACATCACCTTGAATGTCACATTGAAATGTGGACATCTGACGTGGATTAACTTTTGCGTTAGAAATTGAAATTATTCCTAGAATAGCAAACAAAAACAGGAATAAAAGGTATATAAACATTTATAAATTATGATGAAAAAGATATTGCCTCTTGTAAGAGTTATATTTGATAATTGTTATTATTTAAATGATTTTAATTTTTTTTCTTACCTTAAACAGAGATGAATATTCAATAGCAAGCTACTATTCTCCCATAGGGTCCAGTACGGCCAAATTAAAAAAAAATATTGTGTTGGCCACACCCGACCGACCCAAAATTTGAGTTTGTTTTTTTTTTTACTACAAGGAAAAATTTTTTTTTAATGAGCTAAAAAGGCTGGAATAGGCTTATCTTGCAACGGTAGGCAATGTGACAGTGTTATGCAATCGTTTTGCTCTTCAATATAGATTTTAAAATGGTCTTTGTTGTATGTTTGTGTATTGTCTACTTTTAGCATAAACACAATACTGGTTTACAAAAAAAACATTTTTTTACAAAATTTCCTACAGACCTACCTGTTTTTTTGGATTTCCCCAAAAAGTTGGCCAACACAAGAATTTGTTTTAATGGTCTAAACAAAGTCTAATTTTACAGTAAGGCTTAAGGGAATTGAGCTGTTCTGACAAGATGTACCCAGGATGTAAAAATTAAATAAACCATGTAACTGTTATTTAAACTGGGATAGGTGTTCAGTATTAAGCTATTGGTAATTGTTGAACTATTAACAAATGGATCTAATCAATTGAATATAACAAAACTGAATGAGGCATACATTATAATGAAAATAATATAAAAAAAAGTATAAGATAGACATAAAATGAGATGGATGTAGTTGATAGCTGAATTATCATACTGTACGTGATACTGTCTAAAACTGCATTAAAATGGGTCGGAGGGCCAAAGTGAATTTTAGATTCAACTCCGAGGGCTGCACCCAAAACTTTGATGTTTCAGTGCACTTTTAAAAACCGTCATACACCGTTTTATGGCCGTGATATGCTAATTTTTACTATTACTTTTTGCCGGGATGAAAAAAAAACAAGGTGTTTTCCAGCCAAAGATGGTCGTCAGGCCGCACACTTAGGGCTTGTAATTCATTTTCACAGGCCGCAAAAAAAAAATCACTGTCGGGCGCATGTGGCCCGCGGGCCTACTCTGCCCACCTGTGGTTTACAAAAATGCTACTTAATGTTCAGTCCATGACTGCAACTAAACATTTACCATACCTGACCATCCTTATGGTATAGTTAAATTAGAGATTTATTTTGTTTACTATATATCATCATGCCTCTACAAAATGTATGTTGCTTTAAAAAAAATTATTGAAGTAGATTTTCCGTACCTGTAGTGCAGGTGTTTCCTAACCAATTATCAAGGCATCCGCCATCACATCCAGTTTCATGGTGACAAGAGGCAGAGTCACAATAGCAAGTCAAGGCACAATAATAATCATAACTCCTAGATTGACAGGCTATACAAATTCACCAAAATATTGTAAAACACTGTGTACATATTAAGAGTAGGACCATTAACTGAAATAACGTGTGTCTGGCAAAGACTTTCACTTAATCTATTCACAGAGATTACTTGAATCAGTAGTGAGCTGTTGTGAGTGATGCTGAGATGGATGATTTATATCTTTGTGAGTGCTCAAATAGGAAAAATAAAAACAATTAGTTTATCCAGAACGAAAAAACACACAACCCCTGTGAAAACGAAAAGTAGTAGGGTTGTATGACAAATTGGAATAAACTTTAACCCTTTACCCCCTGGTTATAGGCACTAAAATGCGAAAAAAAAATCATTATTATCTAATATAAATAAAGGCTTATAATGTACACACTAACAGGTGGACCTATGATATTATAAATTAAACAAAGCAAAATAGTATTTATTAGAGTAGGAATGCTCAATTTTCTTTGAAATGTAAAGGTACTGACATTTGGAAGAATTAAAAAATGTTATTTTCTTTTAAATACTTCTTGTAGCTGCAGCAACTTTTGGCTCTGCAAGTTTACCTAAGAGTTGCTGATTAATGCACTGGTTCTAAATTTTCTCCCAACATCCCACCTTCTAAAATTACAATACTTCCTATTATTTCTATGATTTAGTATGGCCTAACAATATCAACAGAATTTGATAATTTAATTATTTGTTTTTAATTCATTTGTGAAGAAACTGTTGTTTTAAAAACTTCCTTATCCTTCCACTTTACACTGTACTTACCTTCACAAAATGGACTGTCATATGTATGATATCCTTTTGCACATTCTCCATTACTACATACACCTGTATTCTTATCACATTCAACATTATCAAGACAATGACAAATTAATGTACAAGATGAGTCAAAATAACCAACAGGACAAGTGCTTGGAACTGCAAAAAAAGAAGAAAAAAAAAACAGTCAAGTTAAAAAAACAACTATGTATATTATGCTAATACAATTATAAATTATGTGAATAAATGTTTACAGATTAAAATTAAACAATGGAGAATATTAAAGGTTTCTATTCAACAAGATATACGTGACTTTTGAAAACATTTACTATTTTAAAATTAAAAAAATAACAACAATGAAAATTATCAGTTATCACAATAATTATATAAATACCAGTAAAAACAATATATATTTCTAAAGCACTACCTTGGCAGTTGCTTCCAGACCATCCAGGTGCACAAGTACCTGACAAACACTCTCCAGTATACTGGTTACAGCCTCCTGACGCACAATGACAATCCTGACTGCAACCCGCACCAAACTTACCAAAGCCACAATCTGATGTTCAAAGGAAATATTAAAGGTGCAATTGGATGAATTAACTTAATGGAAAACACCTTGTGCATTCTTATCATTTTTATATTAAAAACACCCTACTGTATATTATAAATAATTTATAATAAAAACAGTCAATAAATAATCATGAAATTGTGAAAACACAATCTATAAAATGAATGTACTGTTGATTACCATGGTAGTGGCTGTACTTCACCTGCTACATGTCCCCAGGAACCTAATCCGAATTTTCTTGTTGCTTTATAACAAAGGATTGTATACATTTACATTAAACATTTTCACATGTATATTTTAATTACCTGCATAACCACAGTTAACTTTTATTTTAGTATGCACCAATACAAAAAAACCACAATGTTATTGCATAAAACAAACAAAGATAATAATTTCTTTAAAATAAAATATATTTTAACACAGTATCTCTTTAACATAAACAATTAGGTATAGTGATTTTTTCTTTTGGTCAAAACATATAATTATGTTTTCCCACGATACTGGTTACATAAATAATCAGCACAATGTAAATGCTTTATCAAGACAATTTATTCCAAATTATTAAATTTTATTTATCTATTTATATTTCTGGGTGACGAGGAGACAAGCAATTAACCACATATACTCTTGCTCACAACCTCAATATTGCAGGTTTACCACATGCTGTGACTTATAACTAAATGATATATGGTTTAACGAATACATAAATGTACATTTACCTGTTAAACAATCAAGACCAGTATAACCTGTTACACAGTCACATCCATATGGATTAGGTAAGCAAAACTGAAAGCCTTTACATGCATCTTGGGGATTTTCTATCCTTCTTGTACATTTAATTTCACAGGTAATTCCAAATGTATTGCCACCACAAGCTAAATCAAAAAATAATCAATAGATTATCATTGCATTTTATATACAAAGTGTGTTTCAAATAACTGAAGTCAAGCTAATGTCTTTAAAATAATGACTTAGTTATCAAAAAATGCTGGCTCATTATTATGCAGTGCCAGACAATTTGTTCATAGGCAACTAAATTTAATGCTACCTATTAAAATCTTATAAGAAAATTCCCATATGTTAGATTTCCAGAGCAGATTTTATTGGTGTTAATTGAATGAGATATTTTATATTTATGACATAATGGAGAGCCCTAACATCGGTGCTGGTTCGTGATGCTCCATGTCCAGGGTTAGGTTTGAACCAAGTCTTTTCATAGGACTTAAACCAGTTCACTTTTGTTAAGTGTCCACATCTGGCTAGCGTGCACTTCAAATAACTCCAGGCACATCTTTTGGAAAGAGTAGGGAACTCAACCCGATGCGGGTGGTTCATTTCAGCCCCTTTCATTGTGGAATGACGTGAACATAAAGCTACTAAGCCCCTCATTATGGCAGCTACTGTTCAGTAGTATTAGCGAGCGTGTGCAATTCAGCACAATGACTCTGCAAGTCATACCTTTACCAAATATGCCAAAACACACAAATCATAAGTGATGTTGTTGGACTGATAGCGAGAACTGATATACGCCAGATTCTTGAAGGCCTGTAAAAAATAATGGAATCGTCTAACCCAGGCTTATGTTACTGTGATGGATCGGAAAGTTTTCCGTTATTTCTTTTTTTCTTTATCGTTATTGGTGGCGCATTGCATTGCTATTGCTATTGTTTTTGTTTTATTGGTATTCGCATGTACATTTGCATACCAGGTTGAGAATATAATGCATTGGCTGTGTGAGTGTTGTATCGACAGAAGGTTTTTGGTTTATGTCGGAGTAAGACGTTGTTTGTTTGTTAAGATGAATCTTGTCTGATACTATCGATATTGTGATATATTTCTAATAATAGTGTGCGATTATATGCAGTAATATTATTGATTATAATGACTGTTGCTAGTTAAATTGATAAAATTATATATTTAATTTGTAATTAATAATGATACTGTTAAGTAATGCATGCCTAGTTGGTATTCTGGTCTTGCTTATCAGAATAGGCCTACAGACGGAATCTACTGTTGAAAATCGGTACAATGTATGCGTTTACCAATGATTTAATTAATCTTTGTTTTAATACGTCTAGTTTCGTCCTGTGGTGACGTGTGGTATTAAGAGTGTTTGCTATGCCATGAAGTTAGTTCTATGAATT